AAACAAAAACAAAACTCATAAAACAAAGTAGCAAAATCTTGTGAAAAAAGCATATAAACAAAAAAAAAAAAAAAACAAAAAAAAAGCGAGAAACTGAACACGAAACTCATGCAAACATTTTCAACGCTAGATGGCGCCAGTCGCAGTCTAAAGAACTTTTGTTTTTACTTTTTCGTTTGCCGTCCCATCCGAAATGCACTCAGTTTTACGTTCTACCCAACTACACCCGCCTACGCCGCGAGCTAAGATACAAAAGAAAAGAAATTTATGAAAATACAAAACAAACAAAAAAAATGAGTGAAAACAACTGAGCGGATACGTGGCATAGATGAAATCAATAAATGAAGAGAATGAAAGAAAAGAGGAGGAAAAAAAACAAATTTTTAATAGGGTAAAAACGGAAAACTAAAAGAAAAACCAACCGAAATGAAAACGCAATGAGGCGTAAAACCGAAAAAGGAGAAATAAAAATAAAATGTAAAACATGAGAACAGCAAATTGTGGGATGAAAGAGATAGATAGATAGCGAGCGAGCAGCAAAAGAACGGCTCAAGATTGGAAGAGGTAGAGGAAGACGATGGAGAAGAGGAAAGAGAGGAAGAACAGGGCATCTCCGATAAAACGATACGATTTGTAGACTATGCAAGTATTTTTATGTATTAAAGGTTATGTTGTAAGTTTTTATCACAATATTTGTATTGTAGCTGCTCAGTGTTTTATATGATTATATAAAATGAATATATAAAAAAAAAACCAGAAACCCGAAAACAAAAACAAATACAACCAACCGGACAGACAACAAAAACAACAAAAATTATTGTATTACATACATCTTATATATAATAAATATGCTTCTTAATAAAAACAAAAAAAAAAAAAAACAAGAAATAAATAACATTAATTTATGACGGTGGATTTTCAGAAGACATGCAGAACTAAGCCGGGGTAGCTTACAAAAAAAGATTCAAATAATAAAAAAGAAGTACATGGAAAAACAAGCTAGAATCTTGCTGTTGGGCGAAACTGACTGCACGATGCGCGCTCAACAGAGTAAAATGGGTTTGAGTTTAGTGAAGAAAATTCTAGAAGTTTTCCAGTGTATAGTTCTAGAAAATAATAGAGACTGTATTCTAGGCCTTCTCTTTTTCGACTATAAAATATCTAGTAAGACATGAATGTGTACTTCAGTTATGTAGAAATAGATCTTGATCCCACCTTATAGCTTTAACTAGAGAAGGGTATGATAGCTAGTAATGATTATTGATTATTGACTCGCAACGCCTCACTTTGGGTATTTCCAAAAGGATATGTAGACTTACCACACACATGATCACTAAGCCACGTAAGCTCCTTTCGGTCATTTGGGCGAGTATTAAAAAAAACTGAAGAAATTAATTATGATACTCGAGTTATCTTTGACGTATACCTTCTGATAACCTGCGAAAAGTTGCTGCAGGTTTTCTAATGCTTAGAATAATTAAATTATCTCTGCTTTCGATAGCAGGCCACGCCGGGGGCGACAGCTCAAGTTCAGGTGCCAAAACAGACTTTTTATAGAGGTGTACTATAAATTTCGACATAAGACAGAGACATGTCCAGTAGTATTGTATGCATAGTTAGTATTTGTTATAATTTGTTTTGGGCCTGCAAAAGTCCCCAACAAGAATTGGGATTATGAAAATTGATTTATGAAAATCATAAAATATATATATTTTTTATCACAAATATTGACCGAATTGGCGTCCAGATTAGTCGCAACTTAGATTCGCCACTCGATTGGCCCATAAAGTAGATCGACGAAAATATAGCATTTATGTGTTGGTTAACAAATAATGAATACTCTATTCTATATAATAAAGTTTTACGAGCTTGGATTGTAGAAATCTTCTCTTAGATATAATATAATTATTGATAAATGAAGGTTGAAAATTATTTTATTTTTTNCCTTATAGCTTTAACTAGAGAAGGGTATGATAGCTAGTAATGATTATTGATTATTGACTCGCAACGCCTCACTTTGGGTATTTCCAAAAGGATATGTAGACTTACCACACACATGATCACTAAGCCACGTAAGCTCCTTTCGGTCATTTGGGCGAGTATTAAAAAAAACTGAAGAAATTAATTATGATACTCGAGTTATCTTTGACGTATACCTTCTGATAACCTGCGAAAAGTTGCTGCAGGTTTTCTAATGCTTAGAATAATTAAATTATCTCTGCTTTCGATAGCAGGCCACGCCGGGGGCGACAGCTCAAGTTCAGGTGCCAAAACAGACTTTTTATAGAGGTGTACTATAAATTTCGACATAAGACAGAGACATGTCCAGTAGTATTGTATGCATAGTTAGTATTTGTTATAATTTGTTTTGGGCCTGCAAAAGTCCCCAACAAGAATTGGGATTATGAAAATTGATTTATGAAAATCATAAAATATATATATTTTTTATCACAAATATTGACCGAATTGGCGTCCAGATTAGTCGCAACTTAGATTCGCCACTCGATTGGCCCATAAAGTAGATCGACGAAAATATAGCATTTATGTGTTGGTTAACAAATAATGAATACTCTATTCTATATAATAAAGTTTTACGAGCTTGGATTGTAGAAATCTTCTCTTAGATATAATATAATTATTGATAAATGAAGGTTGAAAATTATTTTATTTTTTTTTTATTTTTAATTTTTGAAGCAACTAATTTTCTACAGCAATTTTTGTTTGGTTAAGCAGACGAAAGTAATGTAAAGTTAATAAGTTCTATAAGGCGTGCATCTGTCTGTTACACATGTTTTCAGAAAACCACTATACTTCAATTTTCAATGGGTTCAGAGTATACAAATGTTTTAAAAATATAGTTTAGCTGTTTATAACTCCATAAGCCAATTTTCCAGTTATATATGCTATATGTTTGACAAGTTCGTCAAGTCTATATATGTATATGATATATGATGTCTATAGCGAAGAAACGTAAACAGTGCTAAACAGACTTTGCTATGTCAAATTGTCTAGAGCAGGAAACCAGACTCTATTTTATAGATTAGATTCCCATTTTATAGACTCGTTTGCTCATGCAAGTGGCAAAAGTTTGTTTTCTACTGCACCACTGGCTTAACATTTATAATACAGTATATCTATATATTTATTCATTTCTATAACTAGACACTCGCCTGCAACAGCTTGTGACCCAGAAATGCCAATCAAATTGACATTCAATTCGCATCTGACCCCATCAGAGGCACGGGCTGGCGATAATCGATATTTGACCTAGGCCAATATAAAAATGCCTATCGCAGTAAATTCCAAAGACTCCCACAACCAGCAACCCCTCGCCCCTTCGTCCCTTTCCTACTCGTACTCCAACCATGGATAATCGACGACTAATTTGATGGCTGCCTAAATGTTCGCGGGGCGTAGTCTAGGAATCTAGTTGGGGGTCTTAGTTGCCTTAGTCTAATCAATGCAAACACGTTGCAAGAATTACCATTGGCTGCCACACCCACACTCCCCCGTCCCTAGGCAAATCCCCTGCCCCACTGCGGTTGTCAACGCGTTTTGAATTGTGACATTTGGCAATTTATTGAAGACGATTTCCAATCAGAGCAAATCATGCGAACCGATTCTAATATGGCAAGCGGAATTTTTATGGCTGCGTGTTGAGCGCATAAAAAAATAAAAGGTAAGTGTGATATCGGCCAGATCCATCAGAACTCCAGCTGGCCTCCCCCCAAGCTCTAGCTCCACATCCCTTTCAGCTCTGACTTAAATATGAGAACATTGAAGGGAAACCTAACGTAACCAACTCTGACGAACGCTTTGTCCTTTGTGGTGAGCAGCATAGCGTGCACATTGCATGTCCCATGCCAACTAATACACTGAGAAAAATTTTTGAGAATTGAATTGTCAGCATGAGATGTGGATAGCTATATTCTATTATAATTTTTGAAATAATAAAAATAACAAGACTAAACAAATTTCGGAGATTTAAAAAAAAAATTTTTTTTTTTTATTA